AAGCAGAAGCTGGAGAAGGAGAAGAGCGAGCTCAAGATGGAGATTGATGACTTGGCCAGTAACATGGAGTCTGTCTCCAAAGCCAAGGTACACAAATATTTCTTCTCATTATTTCAAACATAATGAAGTACTTATATTTTAACATAGAAATTGAAGTCATACTTTAGAATATATAATTCCACTTTGCAGCTTGACTTTGTGTTTATACTTTTCTGTATTTTTGAAATAATTTTTTAATCCTTTGGGTGCGATTTAAAAAACTGTAACACCTAATCTAAGGATCTGTGGGTTCTCATTTCTTGGTTCAGAATATTATGACAGAAGTGAAAGACATTGACCTTATTGCTTTTTAATTTCCCCTAAAACAGAAATTGCTCCTAGAGTGGAAATTACCCTCTCCTTTTTATTCCTGTTTCTTTTCCTCCCTTAAGTACTTCAGTGACATAATTTTTAAACAGCATATAGAATTTTAAATTCCTTCTTCATTTTACAGTGTCCTGTCATCCTTTTTATCTCTTGAAAATAGATTATTGTATAATACTAGTAGAGTAATAATTATTAATAAAAATTTGCATATGTATTAAATATAGAATCACAGAATCACAGAACGGTTTGGGTTGGAAAGGACCTCAGTGATCATCTTATTTCATCCCCCCGCAATGGGCAGGGCATATACAAATGTTGGAATCAGGGACATAAATTTCATAGAAATGTCTGTAATTTAACTGAGGTATTTTGACTTCTAAATCATTGATTTCTTTTTTCATTTGTAAGATTTGAGATTCTGACTAACTTGAGTTGAATCATCTTTCCTTCTGTTCTTCATGCAAATAGACAAACCTGGAGAAGATGTGTCGCTCCCTAGAAGATCAACTCAGTGAAATTAAGACAAAGGAGGAGGAACAGCAGCGCACAATTAATGACATTAGTGCTCAGAGAGCTCGGTTACAAACTGAATCTGGTAATATATTTGTGTTTTTAGGAGAATATTTGTGTTATATGACCTGGTTCCTTTAAAAAAAGAGTCCAAATCACCTGGGTTCTTGAAAGATACTAAGTTGAATACAAGCCAGAAAAGCGTTCTTGTGATGCAGACAGCCATCAGAACCCTGAGAGAATCCTGAGCTGCATTAGGAGTATTGCCAGCAGATTAACAGAGGGTGATCTTTCCCTCTATTCAGCACAGGTGAGGCCATGCCTGGATTGCTGTGCTGAATATTAGGCTCCCCAGAACCAGAGAGATACAGTTATCCTGGAGCAGGAACAATAATATGTTTAAGGGACTGGAACAACTAGTCCCTGGAATAACTCCCCAGGGGCTGGTAGAGTGATCACTAGGGCGTTTCAAGACACGACCAGACAGGATGCTAGATAATCTCATCTAGACTCCCTTTCCCGTCAAAGGTTGCACCAGATGACCTTTCAGGGTCCCTTTCAACCTGGACTGTTTTATGATTATATGACTGGTGTTTCAAAGAATTCATCTATCTCATAACCTTCTGCTTCCCAGGAGACATTCAGAAGAGGATAGTGATATACCTGAGCATGTACACCACGTTGTAGAATCATCAAATAGTTTAGGTAGAAAGGTCATCTAGTCCAACCTCCTTGCAGTGAGCAGGGACAACTTCAACTGTATCAGGTTGCTCAGCGCCCCATCTAACCTGACCTTGAATGTTTCAATGATGGGGCATCCGCCACCTCCCTAAGCAACCTGTGCCACCTCTCTCATTTGAAAAATCTTATTTCTTGTATCTAATCTAAATTGAACCTCCTTCAGCTTGTCTTACCGCAACAGGCCCTGATAAAAAGTTTGTCCCCATCTTTCTTATAGGCCTTCTCAAGTATTGAACAGTTGCAATAAGGTCTCCTCAGAGCCTTCTTTCCTCCAGGCTGAACAATCCTAATTTTATCAGCCTTTCCTCATAGCAGAGGTGCTCCATCCCACTAAAAAGCTTCATGGCTTCATCTGGACTCACTCCAAGAGGTCAATGTCCTTCCTGTGTTGGCTACCCCAGAGCTGGATGCAGTAGTCCTGGTGGAGTTTCAAAGAGCGGAGTAGCTGCATACCCTGTGGGATGAGGCCAGGACATGTTTGGTTTCTGAGGTCCCAGCACACATGGCCAGGACAGGGCTGCTCTTGATCTGTTCATCCCCCAGCCTGGATTGATACCAGAGGTTATCACAATCCAGGTGCAGCACCTTGCACTTGGCCTTGTTAAACCTCATGAGACTACTATGGGCCATAAGCCCTCTGGATGGCACTGTAGTACTCAATCTGTAAGCTCAACGCTTGAACACAGGGCTTAGAGCAAACAAAGAGTAAGACTAGCCGGATTTTACACACAGAGTCATTTCTTGCCTTTAAGTAAATACTATGGCATAGTAAGAGATGTGGGTAGATATCAGTGATTAGGAATACATGAAAGAAATAAAATTTTGTTTTACTCAAAATATTTTATATGTGCATTTAATTATCAAGGTTAACACTTCTACATAAGTAATAACAAGGTTGTTTTACTCATCTGAACTCTCTCAGGTGAATATTTACGCCAGGTAGAGGAGAAAGATGCTCTGATTTCTCAGCTGTCAAGAGGCAAACAGGCTTTCACCCAACAGATTGAGGAACTCAAGAGACACCTAGAGGAAGAGATAAAGGTGAGAAGGCTTTACAAATTTGAGTTATCCATTGGACTCCTTCTGTCTAGGAGGAGCTTCAGATACATATGGAATTGTAGAATAAACAAGATGAGAGGAAGGAAAAAAAACACTTGTCTAATTCAGTCCAAGTCCTCCCATAGTAGTTTTGCTCCCCTTCCCTGTAGTCTATCCATAAATTCTTTTACAGATTGCCAGATTTTCCATTTTCATTCAGTAGTTCATCATCAGTCACAACAGAATCAATGTCCATCAACATTTCAGTGAGGAAATTTTGCAGGATATTTCCATTCACTCTCACACTGCTATTTTTCCCCAAGGCCAAGAATGCCCTGGCCCACGCCCTGCAGTCCGCTCGCCACGACTGTGACTTGCTCCGGGAACAATATGAGGAGGAGCAGGAAGCCAAGGGGGAGCTGCAGCGCGCCCTGTCCAAGGCCAACAGCGAAGTGGCCCAGTGGAGAACCAAATACGAGACGGACGCGATTCAGCGTACAGAGGAGCTCGAGGAGGCCAAGTACGTGGGCAGGGTGGGGAAGGCTGGCACAGACTAAAACCAGAAAATTGAGGAGACCGCTGTGATATTCAGGAAGAAGTCGGTCTTCTGATTTGGGGTTGGGTAAAAGGAGAGTAGCAAATAAATTCTGTAATGCACGTGGTTTGGGAAAAAAATTCACAGGCAA